TCCTCTCATTGTCCCTAAACGCGGTGCCACATCCCTGTCTGTGTCACCTCTGTCACCTCTCTGTTGTCCCCTCATTGTCCCCTAAAGCCGGTGCCACGTCCCTGTCCTGTCACCTCTCTGTGGTCCCTGCATTGTCCCCTAAAGCCGGTGCCACATCCCCACCCTGTGTCACCTCTCTGTCACCTCTGTCTGGTCCCCTCGTTGTCCCCTCCCCTGGTGCCACGTCCCCACCTGTGTCACTTGTGTCACCTCTCTGTCACCTCACTCTGGCTCCTAAGCCCAGTGCCAGGTCCCCATGTCTGTCCCTCGTTGTCCCCTCGTTGTCCCCTCCCCTGGTGCCACATCCCAGTCTGTGTCACCTCTGTCACCTCACTCTGGCCCCTAAGCCCAGTGCCACGTCCCCATGCCGTGTCACCTCTGTCACCTCTTTGTGGTCCCTGCATTGTCCCCTCCCCTGGTGCCACGTCCCCGTCTCTGTCCCTTCCTGTCACCTCTGCTTCGTCCTCTCATTGTCCCCTAAATCCGGTGCCACGTCCCCATGTGTGTCACCTCTGTCCCCTCTGCCTGGTCCCTGAATTGTCCCCTAAACCCGGTGCCACATCCCCACCTGTGTCACCTCTGTCACCTCACTCTGGTCCCCTCGTTGTCCCCTCCCCTGGTGCCACGTCCCCACCTGTGTCACCTCTGTCCCCTCTCTGTGGTCCCTGGATTGTGGCCTAAACCTGGTGCCACCTCCCCATGTCTGTCCCTTGTTGTCCCCTCATTGTCCCTAAACCTGGTGCCACATCCCCACCTGTGTCACTTCTGTGTCACCTCTGCTTCATCCTCTCATTGTCCCCTAAACCCGGTGCCACATCCCCATCTCTGTCCCTCATTGTCCCCTCGTTGTCCCCTCCCCTGGTGCCACGTCCCCACCTCTGTCCCTCTGTGTCACCTCTGATCCCTGGATTGTCCCCTAAACCCGGTGCCACATCTCCATCTGTGTCACCTCTGTCACCCCTCTGTCACCTCTGTCTGGTCCCCTCATTGTCCTCTCCCCTGGTGCCACATCCCCATCTGTGTCACTTCTCTGTCACCTCACTGGTCCCCTCGTTGTCCCCTGCCCTGGTGCCACGTCCCCATGTCTGTCCCTTTCTGTCACCTCACTCTGGTCCCCTCGTTGTCCCCTCCCCTGGTGCCACATCTCCATCTGTGTCACCTCTGTCACCCCTCTGTCCCCTCGCTCTGGTCCCCTCGTTGTCCCCTCCCCTGGTGCCACGTCCGCATGTCTGTCACCTGTCTCTGCTCCTCTCCTTGTCCTTTAAATCTGGTGCCACGTCCCCACCCTGTGTCCCCTCTCTGTCCCCTCGCTCTGGTCCCTGAATTGTCCCCTCCCCTGGTGCCACATCTCCATGTTTGTCCCTTTCTGTCCCCTCTGTCTGGTCCCCTCATTGTCCCTACACCCGGTGCCACGTCCCCACCTGTGCCACTTGTGTCACCTGTGTCACCTGTGTCACCTGTGCCGGGACCGTGAATTGTCCCCTAAGCCTGGGCCCAAATCCCCATGTCTGTCCCTCATTGTCCCCTCCCCTGGTGCCACGTCCCCTCTCTGTCACCTGTGTCACCTCTCTGTC